AGATGAGAGATGCTCCATCTGATTTGTAGGAAAAACATGCAAATTAATGTGTAAACACAATATGACCACATAGCTACCTTTCTTTTTTTTTTTTTTAAATTTTATTTAAAAGGAAAAAGAGAAAAACACAAAACAAAACAAAGCGGTGTAAGGGTACAAGTAATACAGAACAACAACAACAACAAAAAAAAAACCAGTAAGAAATCACCAGTTAATAGATTACATATTATCATCTTAGAAATAGTTGCTCAAATCACAGTATCAAAGAATATGAAGTGGACATTCAAACAGTGAGACTGCAAACAGTTGTGTTCAATGATCCAACCAAAAACATTAATATGGTCAGCTATTTAACACACCTAAACCTTTCAAAAACATGAAAAATGTTGATGTGAGACATATTAAAGTTCTGGTAAGTATGTAAATTGTGAGAATTGGAATTATAACAAAATTTATATAGAGAGACTAAAATATCTACCCTTTCTGACCTAACAATTTCATTCTGGGGAGTACTACACAGGAAATTTTTCATGCAATTGTGCAAGTATATATGTTCAAAATTACCCTTACTAACATTATATAAAATATAATTTTGAAAATCCAACTACAAGGTATGTTGGAAAAGTATCATGAGTGTTTAAATACTGAAAAAATATTACAGTGAAAGACATCCCTATTAATCTCTCTCAAAATACTCCCCCTCACTCAGAATATACTGATTCTTTTGCTATTTTCTCGTGCAGCTCTGGAAGTCTTGTTTTGTGAGTACTTTTAGTTGTAGTGTTTTGTGAATGGCTTGTTGTCCTGAATCAGTTTGAAATGTTCAAAGTGGTTTTTACTTTGGGAAAGAGCCATAAGTCACACAGTGCCAGATCTGGTGAGTGTGATGGAGGAGGACACTGTAACATTTTTGCAAGTCCCCTGTTCTTACACTTGGCAACGGCATTCACTGGATTTTTAACACCTAGGACCTTTGCAAAATAGGACTTCCAGAATTGTTGCAGAAAGTTACAAAACACAACTGGTGTTTGAAGTGAGAAATATTTTGAAGGAGAGTAGTGAAATTGTGTATTTTACTGAAATCAATGTCTAAAAATGTAAGCTTTCATTGTCTTTGGTTTTTTTAGATTTGTTTTGATGAAATCTCACTATGTATTCCAGGCTGTCCTTGAACTCAGTATCGTAGCCCAACGTGGCCTGGAACTAGTGGTAAACTACTGCCTCAGCCTTTTGAATTCTGGGCTTATAAACATGCAGCAGCATTTTCATGATCACCCCTTGAATTTATCATTACTAATGTGAATAAACAGTGCTTTATTTTATATACTAGAAGTCATAATAGTGGTTGGTTTTAGCAAGTTTGCTGGAAGTCCTAATATGTGCTATTCATAATTTATGTTCCTAGGGAGCCATTTATGGGTCCATTTTATAATTTTTGAGAAATATTGTACATTGCATGCCTTCTAAATTCTTCTAAATGTGTCATATTTCATAATTTTGAAAAAATGTTAAATGTTAATAGTAATGCATATTAACAATTTTTTAAAATAAATGCAGTAAAACTATACTAAATGCTCAAATATTTTGATGAGTAATAGATGAATTGTTGCAGTAACCACTACTGGCACACAATCCTGAATCCATACTAGGTGGCATTAATATTTGTATATGGTGTTAACTAATAAAGAAGTTATGTTTTCCATTGCAACTATATAGCAAATTACCACAAATTTGGAGACTCAAAACAACATACGCTTATTGCTGTACCACTCTGGAAACTAAACGTCTCTGAGACCAAAGTCAAAGCATAGGAAGGGCTAAGTTCCATGAGAGGTTCTAGAGAAGAATCTATCTCCTCACTTTGCCTTAAATTTAAAATTGAATCAATTAATTTCACAATAGTTGGACCCAAAAGGTTCAACTGCACTGTCTAGTTTTTGATAGGTCTGAGAAGGGGAAGAGGGGGAAGGACTGGCCGGCAGTGGTGGCTGAAAAGATAAGAAGTATAAAATATAAATAACCTTTATTTTGGGAATGCGGGGAGAGACACCCCCAACCCCCCAGGGCTTGGCATCTCCCCCCCCGGGGCCGGCGATCTCTCTCTGGAACACGTGGAGTGAGGCACATAAGTAGCCTCAGTCTGGGGTGGACCCTAAGGGGCATTAGGGATGTACGGGTAGCACATTGGTCTTAGTTTGGCACCAGAGGTAGGTTATTAAGGGTACAGGGTTACAGGTAAATCTCTAGGGGCGGGGGAGGCAGGAGCTCCCTAATTCCAGCTGAGGCTTTTCCTGGCTAAAGTGTCCGATCTGGGCCAGCAACCCTTTCATATCCCGTCTTATGATTATTAGGAAAAGGGGCGAAGATTTTTTTCTGTAACTACTTCCTGCTGGCTGAGGGCGCTGTATTGGGGTCTAGGGGAGTCGATGGGATGACGGTTGATGTCTAGGTAGAAGCTGGTGCCAGGAGTTTTAGGCAGGACAACTTCACTGGTGAATGCACGTATGTTAGACTGAAAAAAACAAAGAGACAAGATGTTATGTGGAGACATGGCACTGTCATACTTACGGACCCAAGTGAGGTAGAGGGAAAGGTGTCTTTGATTTAGACCTGTTATTCTATCAGGATGACGTTGAGGTGGCAAGGCAAAATTCTGAAAAATTAAATGTGGGATTAGGAGGAGTGAAGTTATGAGAGGTGCTTACTCCCCCATATGAAAGCATAAAAGTTAAAAGGTAGGTAGGTAAGGCTTGTCTCTGGTATATATGACGTTGGAGTCTGTAGGCAATCCTGTTAGAGAGTCCTGCTATAGAAATGATCATTAATAGAATGTAAGAAATTAAGAACCAAACTGGAAAACAAAACATGACAACCTGTGAGTCATAAGGCAGAGATGAGTATCAAAAGGATGGTTAGATCTAGGGCCTGAGTGATGTGAAACCAGGATGGCAGTTTAAAAGGGAATAAAAGCATTTTAAGATTTAGGACTGGGGCCTGTATAAAATAGGCCCTGTTTGTAACTGGCATAGGTTGACCTTTAATACTCCGTGAGACATTGAGGATTTATTAGCCTGAAAACTCAGTAAGAACTCTGTATATGTGGCTTCTTAGTCCACAAATATAGAGAATGTCTTACCTTGAGAGTTTTAATGTGACTTGGATTCTGAGATTGATATCCACTAAGGCAGTTGGCCCCTGTGACCTGTGAGGGGTACAAGTTAGGATGCCCCGGCCACTCTCTGGTGGCCAGGATAGCCCAACAGCCCTGGAGTAAGGTCTCGAAGAATGCCAGGATGGGGGATTTTGTCTGATGTTTTCTGATAAATTTGAGTGTGGCCCATGGCGGGGGGGGGGGCAGGTAGCTTCACCTTGTGTAGATTTGTCTGTCTCAGAACTGTGTTATTTAAAATATGAACAACCATATCAAGGTCTCTATGGAGCTTGAAGGTCAAGTTTTGCCTTGTTGTTTGAGATCTGGACTATAGTAAAAGTTATCTGTGGAATTAAGTAAGTATGGAGGAGCTTAATATTGGCATTTAAAATTATAAGGCAGGCTGGTAAAATTATCAGGTGGCCAGTCATGGCACCATCTGATAGGTCTGAGAAGGGGAAGAGGGGGAAGGACTGGCCGGTGGTGGTGGCTGAAAAGATAAGAAGTATAAAATATAAGTAACCTTTATTTCGGGAATGCGGGGAGAGACACCCCCGACCCCCGGGGCATGGCATCTCCACCCCGGGGCCGGCGATCTCTCTCTGGAACACGTGGAGTGAGGCACATAAGTAGCCTCGGTCTGGGGTGGACCCTAAGGGGCATTAGGGATGTATGGGCAGCCCATTGGTCTTAGTTTGGCGCCAGAGGTAGGTTATTAAGGGTGAGGGTATAGGGTTACAGGTAAATCTCTAGGGGCGGGGGAGGCAGGAGCTCCCTAATTCCGGCTGAGGCTTTTCCTGGCTAAAGTGTCCAGTCTGGGCCAGCAACCCTTTCAGTTTTTAGTAACTTCAAGAAACTGGCAGTGTTTCCCTTGCAGTTCATTTTCTTGTCATTCTGTACCCAATAACACATCCTTATTCTATGAGACAGACTATTTGGAGATGAGTTGGTAGAGAAGAATGTTAGTAGTTCACTAGTGCAAACAGAATGTTCTTATGAAGTTATCTAAAGAAGAAAAAACCCTCCTTTATTTCTGGAGGGTAACACATAAGAGCAAAAGCTTAAGGTAATTATCAAGTTCTTGTAATATAGGGTAGGTTTATGATACCAAGTCATGGAATGCTGAATAACTAAGTTAGTTATGTTGAGGGGTTTAACTTGTATTAAAGTTGGGTGTCACAGAGATAAAGCAGTTGTTCTTTTTCTATTATGAAATTTCCTTGGTTCTGAAAATAATTTACACACGCCTTTATGTCTTATAAAGCTTACCAAAATAATTATAAAATGTTGATACACAAAAGTTTATCAGTGTGCTGGTACTTTGTGAAGTTAATGCCAAGTACAGAATACAGTTGAGTTATACTCAACCATAAATGCTATGAGTAGTTCAGGTTTCTATTCTTATATCTGGAGTAACAGAAACATTTCAACTTCCTATCATACAGCACAACTGGGAAATTCCTTAAGGGAGAAAAATACAACACTGCTTAATGTTTCTATAATTTTGAGAACATATTTTACTCTAGTTAAGCAAAACAAACAGAAAACACCGAAAGCTAGAACTATAATACAGGGTGTTTTCATTCTCATCTTAAAGCAGTCCTTAATGTCCTTAGGGAGATTCTGTCTTCCCTATAGACTTTTAAATACAGAGGAAAATAAACACAAAGTAATAGTTTTAGTTCAAAAGCACTTTAGTAGTTAAAATATATACTAATATATATTTACAGAGGAAAACAAAAACAAAGTAATAGTTACAGTTTAAAAGTGTTTTAGGAGTTAAAATATATACTAAGATATATTTATAAAATCCACAATTTTAAAAAAATCATCACACTTCTACATATGCTCAGAAAGAATTAAGATGATTTAATTTTAGCATTGATGCAAATGAGTTACATCAGGTTTTTGGCACATTCTTCATGTAACATATTTACAAAGTTTACAAAACTATGAACATATAGTAAACAATTATTAAATCTAATATAATTTATTTCCTATTATGGCATATACCATTTCAGTTACATCTTTAGTGAGGTTAAACATAAAGGAAAATACATTTTTAAAGTGCTTCAGTCTAGGACATAGTTTTCCCATGCTGGTGTTTTATCTTCCAAAATATCTCCATTTCATAACAACATTTGCTTTCAACGTGGACTTTCTCTGTGCAGGATGGTCCACAGCACTGCTCACCAGCTATGCCACAGCCCATAGAGTAGTGGTTCTCTATCAAGGTGAGAGCCGTGCATTGTTTCCACTTTCCCACAGCTTCCCCCTCTCACAGCATCCAGCCGCTTCGCACCAGCAGGGGTGGGGACCAGCTGAGCCTAAGATGTTGGTCTTGGTCCACTTGGCCCAGCCTGTGTGCTTTACTCCCACCCTGTGGCTTTTAATGTCCTGAACCAATACAGAAAGCTAGACAGGAAGAATTACTGGAATTACTTAAATATTGATTGTCCAAAGTTCTGTATTTCTTGTTCCTTTGTTTCAACAGTAAAAAGGGGAAAGAAAAGGAAACTCTGATGTTCAGCACCTTACAGCAAGATGCAGTCATTGTGTGGTGGGCTATAGGCTCTCAAACGGTTTATCTCCTCTTGCAGTCTTCGCTGTTCAGCTTCAGCCTGTGCTCTTTGCCTTTCGGCTTCCTCCTAAGAAATGGTGAATAGAAATCGGAAAGCTTAGCAATGAAGCTTCTTTTTCACTGCCTACTTGTCCTTAACTTGTTTTAGTACACAGCGGCAATAGATAGTCTCTGAAAATCTCTCCTCCATTCATGTACAACCAGCCTCCTACGGCAATTATTCACTCTTCTCTTCCCCTAGCTCCTGAAACTCGTGCTCCCTTCCCTGAAATGTTGGAGAACTCAGAATTCTGTTTCAGTTCTCCTTAAGACCTTTACACTTCACAAGTTATTTGAATAATATCGGCCATAGCTTGACTTAAATTCTCATTTACCCACAGAAGGATATTAGATATGTTTCTAAGAGAAGAGACTGACACAAAAATAAAGTGTCCAGGTGACATGCAGAGCCAGGTGAGACATCTGAGCCTTATATGAAGATGTGTTTCAGGTCACCACAGTTTTAGAGATAGAAATGGACATTGAAAACCACAGGTTTCCATACTGGCCTTTGGGAAAGAGCTGCAGTCTCAAGAAGGTCTTGGAGTAGCTGCCAAGCAGCCAGTGCCTGCAGATAGGCAGGAAGCAGGGGGAAGGTCATGATGCTGATTGTCTCAGGAAGCCTCTAATAGAGGGGTTTCATACCAGGTTTGCAGGGGCAGCAGTGCTCTGGACCACACTCACTGGGAAGGCAGTTTTGACAAGTTAAGGGCTGTGTGATACTGGTATTTTGTCCTCACTTGAAGAAATGAATATATGTTATGTACATGGACCAAATCCAGGGACACACTGGTTGTGCTTCCCAGTGAACAGGATAGATGAGGGAGTGTGGACACATGGCTTTCTACAGTGCTTGGCGAGTAAGAGCTGCTGCTGCTCAAGTGATTATAAGACTAAAGGACTGGATACAACAAGTTGCAAGTTAAAGTTCATCAGAAGCAGAGATGATCAAGGAAAGTCAGAAGCAAAGATACAGCAGGAAATTAATGCAGAAAGTGTGTATGATTAAGAGAAAAGATTGTCTGGAGAACCTGACGTGTTAAAAGTAAATACTGCCATGCTCACTTTGACAGCACATATACTAAAAGTAAAGACTGACATGGGCCTAATGTGCCTTAGTTTTTATTTAACAATTTATAGTGCTTATACTATCCCAAATACCGTTCTGGACATAAGTATTAGTGCATTTAATTATCACAGTAACTTCAGAAAATAGGTACCATTACTGTCTCCACTTTACATGAGAAGGAAAGGAGGCACAGGGAAGAGAGAACTTGCCTAGACCACAGTCTGTCAGAAAGTGGTGCCCAGGTTTGCACAGCAGTCTGCTTGCAGAATATTTGCCTTGGGCCACCAAATTATGCACCACTCTCCTTTGCCAGTGGCCCATACTCTCTCTCATGCTCACAGAGAGGGGAGAGTTGAAGAAAAACCTGAGATGAAACAATTAATAAATACCCGGAGCCGCTGCTCCCGGTCCCGCTGCTGCTGAGCCAGGAAGTTTGCTCTTTGGATCTCCATCTGCCTCACTTGCTCCTGATGGCGCCTCTCCTTCTCCTCCATGAGTCGCTGGTTCTCCCGGGCAATGGCCGCCAATCTTTCTGCTTCAGCCCTTTCAGCCTCTGCCTTCCGCTGAGCCTCTGCAGAGATGGAGGAAAATCACAAACGCTGTCAGACTACTGTGCCCCTTCCTTTGCCTTCTGCTCTTACCTATTGTAAAGATAGATATTGTAAACTTCATAGGTAAAGTTTCCCTGGGTTGTTTCCCCCTTCCAGCTAATTTAATTGTAGCTGATGGTGCTCTCGGGAGGGCCTGGTTATGTTTATTTTTAGACAAGCAGCAGCTCTGTCTTGTGTTTCTTCCATTTTTGTCTCACCTTTCATCTCCTTTTCCTTGGTGGTGAGAGCCTGGTCTGACTGTAAAACAGCATCACTCACCGACTGCTTGGACGTTAGGTAATTCTGCAGAACTTCCTCAGCCTAGGAACCCCAAAACATGCAGTCAGAATCAGGCAGTGGTAACCGGCAGCATTATGAACCTCTTTGTTTCTATTTGTTCTTGGCATCCTCCCCTGCTAGTGGATGCTCAGCCAGCATGGGGTGGAAATGTCTACAAGTCTGTCATGTCACAGGTGTGGGTACAGCTTGGGCCTTGACAGCTGAGCATCCATGGCAACTTCTGGAATTAAATTAAAACCTTTTTATTTCTTGAATTAGTTCCAATTTTCATGCTTCTGTTTTGTGTGTTCAAAAATCAACAACAATAATAATCAACAATAATAATAATCATCAATAATAACAGTAATAAAAGAAAAAATTCCTTGTGGCAGTAAGTACTAAAGGTTGGAATAGATGTCTGGTGATAATGATGAAGGTTCATTTTAATACTGTGGTTATGGCTATGCTGGAGTGCTAACACGCATGGCTTCCCATGAATGCTGAGTCAAGTAAAGACCAAAATAAAATGTAGATAACAGGAAATAGGGATTTTTCTCAAAGAGGAAAGGCACCAAGAAATGGAGAAAGGGAGAGGGGGGAAAGGGGAAGAGAAAAGAAATGAATATATGTTATGTACATGGACCAACTCTACACAAAGAGTGTAAACGTAATGTACTGCAAACATTGTGTAATGTACTGTATCAGAAAGAGTCATCAAGGATAGAGTGAGGAGGAAATGAAAGACAAGGAGAAAACAGAACAAATTAAGATGTATTGTGTACATGTTCTATCTCCCCACAAGACATGTGCAATAAACATATTACTAAAAAAAAGAACTAGTGACTATATATGTTTTTCTTCTTATCTACAGTGTTTTTACAGAATGCTCCCTAAATTGTCCATAGTTAACGCATAAATCTGGAGATACCTGTAGTCCTTTCCTTGGCTGTTGATAGTAATTTGCCTTCAACTCTTCCACTTTTTGAAGGAAGAGATTATGGCCTCCTGGTTTAAAATAAATCCCCTGCCTCACTTCTTCTTCCAGCGGACCAAAAATAATCTGAAGTAAAGTTGAGCAGTGTTCTGAAGAGGCTGCCTTGTTCCGCTCACAAATGTCTTCCAGGTTTGCATCTAGAAGTGTCTTCAAAGGGACAAAATCCCACAGAGATGTTAGCAAAATTCAGTAGCTCCAGGTGAGGTTTTTAAAGGAATATATAATCTTTTATAGAAATTTAGTGGAATGTAAACTAGACTATCTTTTTCACCAAACCTTGAAAAGTCCTGAGAATGACACTTGATGAAAAATAACATTTACTTTTGGGTTAGACATGTACTAAAACCACTTTTTCTTGTTATCTGTGCTTTGGATGTCATCTTATGAACCCCTGTCTCTGAACCTGATGCCTAGACTTTAAATGCAAGAAACTGTTTTACAAGATTTTAATTTTTATGTTTTTCTACCTTTAGTGAGAAGGCAGATTTGGATAATTAGCTGGAATGATATTGGATAATTTTATTCATCCTGAATACATCGTATTTTAGTAGACACTAATTCCAATTTTGTCTCACTAATAAAACAGTAAGGTAATGCCTTGTTAATACAATTTTGAAAGCAATAAAATCAATTCAACTTTCGTCCATGGGTATGTAATATGTTGAAGATGAGATATGTGTTTATGTGAAAACCTAAAAGTCTAAACTGCCTACAGTATTACATGCTTTTTTGATTTTAGACTGAAAGTAGCATCATCAAGTGAATCACATGAGGTTCATCATTATGTTCAAGTCTGACATTTGCTTTTCTTAATTAAATCCTGTTTTAACATTCATAGAAAATATTTGTCTTCTATTAACCCTAAAGCCAATGTATTAGACAAACAACAATAATATTAATTACCTGTAATTCCTTCTGGAAGCTTTGGTCCTCATCCTTGAAAGAGTACTTTGTGAATATTTCCAAGGCCTCCCTCTCACAGGCCCTGTGCAGGTCCAGCAGCTCCTGGAGGGTGTCTGTGGGCAGCTGAACCTTCTGGCCCATCTGCTGGTCATAGTGGGCCAAGGCCTTCTGCACTGCAGCTGAGTTCTCTGTCTGCACCAATGCTAGGACTGAATTCTCCATGCAGGGCAGATCCCCATTGTTGATGGCATTGACATAGGTCTGTGCCAGGCTCTGTAGACCTTCATAGAAATAAAAGATGCTTATATTATTTTTAGAGAAATAGTCTATGTTCCACTGAGTAATGCTGAAAATGTAGACTTAATGACTCAGTGCCTGAAATTTTTCACCCTTCTGTGAAGCATTCAAAGGGCCCACATAAATTCTTTAGGAAAACTATATAATTTAGAACCAAAGTCTATCCTTCTTTCGGAAAAGAAACTGTATTTAAATAAAAATACGGTAAATCTTAAGATATATGTGACTTTCACATTTCATAACTGTCTACGAACACCTAAGGAGATGGTTATGTAAAAGTCACACACTTGATTGGAATGCTATAGGCCTCACCTCTTTAATCTGCCCTTTCCCTCTTCCTCAGCTTCCATTTTCTTTGGAATTTACCTCTTTTATTTTATGATAAAACTGGTTGAGATATAGCCTCTTCTTTAAAAAAAAAACAAAATGTCAAATTAAGCAATTTTTGACCACATCATTTTTCTTATTCTTGCCTGGAATTTCCTCTGCTTTCATTCTCTGTCAACTTGTACTCTATTCCCCTCTATAATGTAGCAATTATTTATAGAATTCTGACTCAAGAGCTTTCTTAGAATAAACTAGACCATGAAGCCAGCGTTCATATATTTTAGAAATCCAGACAATTAACACCTTGGTTCAACATTTGTATCTACACAGTACTCCTTCTACCAAGAACATGCCATCTTGTGCCTGTCAAAGGCTTTGACACATAATAAGGCTACAACAGATTTCTTAGACAAATGGTGCCAATCAGTGAGGATTAGTACATTTCAGCAGTGGAAAGTGGATGATTAAAACTCTTAACCCTATCTTTCCTTCCTTTCTCTTCTTGTTTTATGTAATTTTGGAGGCATTACTAAGATTACTAGAAATATATTTCACATCTATTATAATGTTTTAAATGTGCCCCATATGATTTTCATGGTTATAGTTACTTATGCACTTGTTAACACTGGTGCTACAAGGAGATTCACGTGTTTCTTATACTTTCTGTTGAGTTGAAGGAGCTACTTAAATAGATACTCACAAGGTCCATCGACCTTGATGCCTCCTGGAAGAGTCTTGGCTGCAGAGTGGTTGAAGATGTAGGAACAGAATTCTGCCACTTGTTGCACAAACTCAGGATATAGCTCATCATCATGCAGCATTTCAAGCTGGGAAAGCTGCTTTTTGTGAGCCGGTGACTCAAAGATAAAGCATTTCTTTCTTGGAAAGAACTTCCTTATACACAGACGGGGCAAATTGAAATGCTGAATTCTCTCATTGCTACCTGAAGAAAGAAAAATAGAATTTACTTAGTATAGTGTTTTTGCTTATCATGTACCTCAAAGTAACATTCTTTTTGCTAATGTTCCTTAGTTTAACATTTCTTTATAAAGCCTAAGCAAAAGCTTAAAAATATAATCAGGAAATTGAAACAGGAAAGAAATTTGTTCCAAGAACAGGAGAGTGATACATTTTAATATTGAATCTCTAAATTTAAGTTAATAATATGCATCATTTATTCTGTGGGACAGTTAGTAAGGTAAATGTGAAAAAATATACATTTAGTGACCTACACACAAAAAGGATACTTTATTGGGCTGCTTCTTTTTCCTTTTTCCAAAACCAAACCTCCTTACCTTCTTTGAGTTTCAATGAGTTCTCCAGGTATTGATCTGGTGTGATGACTTTTCCACCTGCTTCTAGGCTTAGGTAGAAATCTCTTAAAGTCCATACCAAGTCTGGAAAGAAGCTCATTAAGTCATTATTATCTTCATTCTCATTAATAACAGGTGAGTTTCTTGCTCTGAGCAGATCTGTGAGTTCTGTCACATTGCTGAGATGCAATTAAGGAAAGTTCACAAAAACAGAACAACACCTAAATCTATATTTTATTTCCTGTCTCCTCAAACATTTATTTTCTCTCTACCACTTAACCAAACTGACCTTTTATCATAGCCAATATGAGGTTTATTTATATTGTATTTTCAAAGATTATCAAATTTTTATTTTTGTGATTTGCAAGATCTCACAGCCATATAGCTGGTGAGTACAAATCTCTCTGGCTGTTCTCCTATCCTGAGCCACAAAAGGATACTGCAGTAGGTCGATAGCACCCTGGTCAATTTTGTTCATGGTGTTGTATACAAAAGTGCTGCTCAGCAGAATTGCCAGGGCGAAGATCTGGGCGTCATTCTTATCATCAACCTGGAAGTCAGAACAAATTTAAATAACATCTCATGGCATTCTAAGGTGAGCAGTCATTTAAAAAGTAAGATCCTAGTACACAAACATTAAACAAGACAAACAAAAGTCACTGTCAGACACAATGAACTTAGTGAGGCTTTCTCACTGGGGATTTTATATCTGTTCATACATTGTTAACTCATTGCTCCTTTTGTAACTACTGTTAGATATTTTCAAAATGAGTATTCAAATTAGTTATCATGGAGGTCCATGATAGCTAATACTATGTATGCCAGGCTGGGTGATGACAGACAAGATCTTCAGAGCATCTTGTTTAACTACTTACAATCAAGGTTTTTCCAGGTTCTAAAAATTTGGCCTATACTTGTAATACTCGCCTGCATTTTATTGAGTAACTATTATCCACAAGGCTCACTGAGAAAAATGCCTTGATTTGTACCACTTAACCATTTCCAAAATAATTTGATCAGAACTGATTTCAGGCTATCAAAGTAAACACAAAATTCACACTTAAAAGATATATATAATTGATTTATATGAGCTTATGTGAGCCAATTCTTGGACATATCTGAAGCTTTGTCTTGCATATCCAGTATAATTCTTCATACTGATTTTGCCTTATAAATATATCTTTTTTCAAGACTCTTACCATTAAAAATAGAAAGGAAAAAAAGAGATATACTCTAATCAAGGAGAAGTGTGTGTTTATAAAACAAAACAGAGTAGCAACAATAAAGCCTACAAGCATAAAGAACATTTAGAGATGAACAGGTTGGTCAAATAAGAATCTTTCTCCTCTACCTTCTCTACGTCTCCCAGACCCTCAGTGTCAAGCAAGACAAGGGTGTGGTCTGGCTTCTCAGGATGAGGCACACACCACATCCAGATCCCCTTGGTGTGGGACTGCACCGTGGAGCCAACAGAAAAGCCTGCAAAGGAGAGTTTGCCATTAATAAAGGTCTCGGGAGAATGAATAGTTTTGGCATAATGAAGCTAGGGCTTAAAGAAACCAAAGAGCAGAAAATATAAGTATTGATCTGAATTGCAATCAAAAGGTGAGAAAGTAGGGGTTGGGGATTTAGCTCAGCGGGGTAAGCGCCTGCCTTGCAAGTGTGCAGTCATAAGTTTGATCCCTGGTACCGATAAAAAACGAAAAAAATAAGGTGGGAAAGTAACATTAAGTATCATAGTTCGGAGGTTTGAAAATGTAATATTGCTTTAAAATTTTAATTTTATATGGTGATTATTTCATTGATGTCTTATTCAATATGAAGGGCAATAACAAGACCAAAACCAAAATGAAACAAAACTATACAAAACAAGTGATATATATATATATATATATATCTCACTTGCTCTGTGATACAATTTGGGGAGTATGGCCATTTTCACTACTTTGGCTTTTCCTACTGAAGAACAAGCAATATTTTTCCATTTTATGATATCCTCTTCAATCTCCTTTTTAAAGAGTATTATAGCTTTCAATGTAAAGAACTTTTACGCCCATTGTTAGATTCATTCCTAAATATTTCATTTTTAAATGGTATCACGTGAGTGTTTTCTATTCCAATTTTCTGTAGGGTGTTTATCATGAATGGCTGCTGGACTTTGTCAAATGTTTTTATGCATCTCTTGTGACAATCCTGTGATTTTTTTTCCTTTGGTTATGTTGATATGATGTATTACATTTATTGATTTGTGTATGTTCAACCATTTCTGTAGCACTGGGATGAATCCCACTTGGTCATGATATACAATCCAAAAATGGACATTTGAAATGAACAGACACTTCTCAGGCGAAGAAGAAAAATAGCAAATAAACATAAGAAAAAATGTTCAGCATCACTAGTGTTTGAGAGATACAAGTTAAAACAATGCTGAGATTTCATCTCACTCCATAAAGAATGACAGTTATCAAGAAATCAACCAATAACAAGTGCTGGCAGGGTTATGGGGAGAAAAGAACCCTCTTCCACTGTTGGTCAGAGTGTAGACTGGTGCAGCTGCTGGTGGAAATCAGTATGAAGAGACTTCAAAAAACTAGGACTAAAGGTCTCACTGGACCCAGCTATTCCTCTTCTTGGTATCTTCCAGAAAGAGTTAAAAACATCATACCATAGCGATATACGCACATCAACATTTATAACAACAGTTTGTAATAGTTAAATCTTGGAACCATCACAAATTCCCATCAACTAATGAATGAATATAGGTGATGTGGCTTTTTTATACAGTGGAGTACTACTCTGCCATAAAGATGGATAATGTTGAGACATTTCTAGCTAACTGGATGCACTTAGGACCTACTTTTAAGTGAATTAACTGGACACACATGTATTAATACTGCATTCTTTTTCTGGTGTGAAAAATCAAAAGTGTAAGCAAGAAGTAAAATGAGTAATAGATATTGTGTAATGAAAAGAAAATGTTCAAAAGGAAAGGGAACTAGGGATGAAGAAGTAGAAAAAGATGGAAGAGAAAAGAAAAAATGATGAGACAAGAAGTAAAAAGTAGAAACAAGCTTTTATAAATCAGAAGGGGAAGATGAGTTGAAGGAAGGGTAGAAGGATGGGGAAAAATCAATTTATGTCACTCACAAAATCCCTATGATGTATGTGATCATTATGTATAACTAAAATGTATTAATAAACTTAATTACTAAAATAAGCAGATATTTAAAAAGTGATGTATTAGAATCAAAGTGCTACCTTGTATTTCCAGTGAGATAAAACAACCAGCTATGGCCCAAACTTTGGCTTCAATGTTCACTGCCTTTTTCTCTCCTCAAATCTCCATGCTGGATGGTGACATTGTAGGGGAGAGAAGGGAGTCATCATCTTTGCCGATGGCACTCACCTTTATTCTTGCCAGCCAGCTTGTTCATCAGGTAGGATTTGCCTGTGCGGTAGAGGCCCACGATAGCCACCACCACGACGGGCTGGCTGATGGCAGACAGGATGCTCAGAGCTTCTTGTTTAACCACCAGCTTCTCCTCAGTGTTCTCAATGAAGCACAAGGGCTCTGGCATGTGGATGTGTGGTGCCATTTTCAGTGTGTTTTCTGCTCTATAAGAACAGAGGTAGATTGAATCAGATTCACGGTTTCTAGTCCTTGCACTCAGAAAAGAGAGTCATAAATTTTCTCCCATATGAACAAAAGTTTTGTATACATCAATAAAATGGAGACAACACTTGTACAATTTAAAGATTTGTAAAAATATTATGGATGTAGTTCGTTCTACACAGCATAACAGTGACATCACAACATCCACCTGGTTCTTATGAGCCATATGTTCCATTCAATTTATCATACAAAACTTTGCTTTTGGATTCAGGAAAAAAAAGCCAGAGACAACAAATAGCAAACAGCATAAAATTTAAGAATTTATTTTTCATTCTGTATATATACAAAAAATCATTTACTTATTATTTCTTATAATGAATAAAGATACTATGAATAAATGTTTCATTGTTTGATCTATGACCTTTGAACAATTTCCAGGGATTCATAAATGAATTATTCTTGATAGTCCAAGAAATTATGATCACTTCAATGGAATGAGGAATCACAGAACTCCTCATATTGCAATCTCCGAAGTGAAAGCAGCACAGTTTACTGCCACCAGTTTGTGGAAACACCTGACTACGGGAACACATGAAAGGACTTTCCTTCGGACTTGGGGGGGACATGTGTAAAAGTGCATGCCACTAGAGCTACCTGAGCTGAGCAGCGACTGACCATGAAGTCAGGAAGATATAACTGTGAAATACTGTAGAAAAGGCTAAAAATGACTATGAAATAAGGATTAGGAAATCAGGAAGAGATACTAGACAAAGAGCAGTTCAAAATATATCTGAATTTTCAGCAATACATTTTAGGTCTTCTGCTTTTTCTGTTTCCCATTTGGTAGAGGCAAAGAATTAGAAATGGGAAAAAGGAAGGGAGAAGAAGTGGAGGAGGGAGAGGGTAAGGAGCTGGTGGTGACAGGCAGAATTTAGAAAGGTGATGAATGCAGCTAGAGCCCGCCAGTAATCCGTGGGATAGGTTTCCAGAGGACAAGAAAATTTGTTTGTCACAGAGACACCTGGGACATAAAGTGCTGCCCCGAGTGCTGCATGGCAGGAGATTCCTTTGGGGAAGCCGTTTACTAAATACAGAGCCTGGATTCTGCTGGCAACAGATAAGGCATGAGTACACACACGTGCACGCGCGCGCGCACACACACACACACACACACACACACACACACACACACACACGTCACTGAGCCTGGGCTACATCTGGTGGAAGAAATCTAGCCTGAACGAAGTCTAGATGTATGATTAGAAAGCAAATTGCCCTTGTGATCTTTGTCTTTCTCTATGGCTTCCTGTATTTTTCTCTCTTTGTACCTAACCATGTGGCGCCTGCTCACCAGCATCTTATTTCTATGCTTTCCTCTCCTGAAAACAGCAAACTCACCCCTGACCTTGGTAATTTACTTGTGCCCCCTCAACACAGAGTCAAGCAAGAGAAAGTAAATTCATTCTCGTCTGTTAGTGCCTACCCCACTCAAGCCCAGTAGTACATATAAGGAACCTGCTGCTTTGAAAAAGTCTGAATTTCATCCGACCTCATGCTCCATGTGAGGATCAGCTCCAGCCCTTCACAGTTCTGCTGGTTTTAAAAAGTAACCAGTGTTATAGACCGCTTCCCATCCACACCCCAGGCTCAGAGGCTGCTTGTCCCTGAGCACAGCTCTTTCAGAGCTAGAGACGCTGGGGGAAGCACCTTACCTGCTCTTTCCCGTGGTGGAGATTTTGCTTCTCTCTTCGGCCTCTCAGTGAATTGTTGGACTCTTATTTATCCCTTTAATGTTGTAAAGCTTCCTGGATTTCCCCAATTTGCCCAAGAGACAATTGCACAGCAGCCTTTTGACAGATTTAGAGTAATGTGAAACTGAAAGTACTTGGTTCAGCGTTGTGAAAATCTGCAATCATAAAAGGAGTTTCTGGTGCTCTGCTGGGGCAAGATATGATGGGGTTGCTCAACCAGAATCTTCAGATACTGTATTGTGATAGAAGAGGTCCTAGAAATTATTTGATCTTTTAAAAATGACTGTTAGATGGAATATGACAGAGTGATTTTGAAGAATGGGGAGCAATTGGAGCAACCTAGAATGAGGAAACACCATTTATTTTTAAAATCTAATTTCATAAAATAGTAAGCCCACTAACAGTGCAGCTGTGATTCCTTGGGAGCTGTAGCAAGTAAGGGAAAGGGCACGGTTTACACGCTCATGAGTACCTGGTAGCTGGCACTTACATGGTACCAACACAGAGTCAGGAGGGAACTCCATGCATTGCACAGGTAGTCCAGAGCCAATGCTGACTACATTTTTATCATAACAGACATCCCTATGATTTTACAGAAACTTCATCACTTGTCTCAAATCATAGTACTACTGGTATAGTGAATTCAAGCAGCCTGGATCACCTCTTCATGAACCAACTTACTCTGTTGCCCCTCTGTGTTTGCAGACTGAATAATTGTTAAAATAATTACGCTATTTGTATATTATCTTGTAATTGTAACCTATGTTACAAGTAAAACCTGTCCTGATCACAACCACACAAATTAAAGGACTTCGTCAATATTTTACAGTGGAAAAAAAGATCTGGGGGAGGGGATTACGTTTTAGATATTTTTGGATATGATTTGATTGTAAATGAATCCAAAAGGTTTATTTACTATAAGCCTTGGACTCAGCATATTGAAGTGAAACGTGCTGAAAACTTTAAGTGGTGCAGCCTAGTGGGAGGTGATTAGGATTTGAAGAAAGATTACTAGTTTTATTGTGGGAGCGAGTTGTGGTTGTTGTGACAAACTCCAGGATGATTATGTGTGTGTCTGTGTTTGTGTTCCATCACTTTCTTAATGCAGGCCTGTCTTACACGATGCCATCCATGGTGTGTAAGGTACCCAAAATGCCTCATCAGAGGCTGAACAGATGGGACCAGGCACTCTTGGATTTTCAGCTTCCAGAAGAATGATCCATCTCTTTTCTGTAAATAGCACCTAATCTTGAATGCTTTTTAAAAATAGTAAACACAAAACTAAAAAGGGCTAAATATAATTCCATTCAGATTCCCTCAGCAGGTCACAAGAGTGGGATGAACACTTTAAACTCTAGTCTTGCTTGTGCTTTGCTCCTTGCTGGTATAAGGAGGGAATGTGGAGGAAAAGTGGACAGACCTGCAGTGTCCTCTGCTGGTGGCACTGTACTCCGGTGTTGGCCACACCCTGCAGCCAGGGTCCCAAATGTCAGAAATGAGGATAGAGTCTCTCTTTCCTTTTCCTTTTATTCTGTGATCTTTAAAATTTTTCTAGGCAAATGCTCTAGAAATTAGTTTAATTTTCTCTAGAAATAAGATTCATTTGAGTCTTTCACTTGCTGGACACACCCATGATTCTCTTGTCTTGGGGTCTCTATGCCAGCAGCTTTTTGCATCTAAATCTTACCCCACTTTGACAGAGTTAGTTCTTTCCCATACTTGAGGTTTCTGAAAATGGGTGTCTTCTTACAGATGTCTGACAGGCTTGTTTTTTTCAATCACCATCCCATTTTTATTTTTAAATTTCCATATTGAATACTTGCAATTCACTCTCATATCAGGATCTTCAGAGAATAAGAGATACGTCCCCAGGATCTAGAAGAGTACTTGGTATCAGATGTAGAACTCTGGGATGAATAACAAGTCAGGCACTAGAGTCAGGACCAACTTTCTATCCGTCTCAAAGGCAGTTAGACTCAAGTTTTACTAATGGTGGTTATGGACAACAAGGCGGGACTTCCTCTTCCTTTGTTTTCTTGGTCTTTAAACTCCTGCTTGTATAAACCAGTTTCCTGGTGACTCTGACCAGAAATCAAATACACTTGCTTCTGAAGCCAGCCCCACTCAAAGCATGCAGGTGTAGCTCAGGCATGGCACTTTGAGAACACCTGGCTTGATCACCCTCACTCTGGTTCCTTTCTCCGGTGCAGTGTCCATGCTGACAGAGGACCATAAGGAAGCCCAGCAGCTGCTTCCCTGGATCAGAGGAAGGAGCAAAGCTCAGAGATTCTCCTAGGAAGGGAGGCTCCCATGAAAACACAGAGCTCTGAAGTCCTCCCAAACAAATAGACTATATCTGAACCTGAAAGTGAGGCTTCTACTTGACACTTGAAGAAAACTGTATGAAGATCTACTTTGTAAGAAATACTTATATCAGGTTTTCAGGCAGAAAACAAACAATCCCAGATGGTTCTGCAAATTCACATGGAAAAACAAGATCATTATTGAGAGAATTATGAAATTATAGAAGACAGTATAAATGCGTGATTCTTCCCTTTCTTATTTAAAACAGCTGCATGCACATAATTGTATTTCAGAGAGTATAACAGAAATGTTACAAATTTAGTGAATTAGGTAGAAGCAAAACTGTAGTGGAACAGAGAGATGATACCAGGTATAAAATTGAACTAGAGATCGTAACCAAGCGAGCTCTGTAAATTTAGCACCTAATCTATGGTAGGCTGTTGCTAAATACTTTACCAGTGCTAGTAATTAATTTTTCCTCTGTAGTGGGTTTATGATAATATTGTTATCTGCATTTTTTCAGACATTCAGTGTGGTTTTAGTTGCAGATTGTCCTGTTCATCTCCTGACAGCTGCTTGATTGGGAATTTCTTCAAAAATCAGTGTGTTAAAAGAAGTTCAGATCAGGTTTATTAATGCCTGTATATTTTGCCACAATGAACTGAAGGGTTTTTTTTTTGTTAATCTCACCTTTATTTTCCCTAAATTTGAAGTTTGAATAGTTCTCTAATAAATGAAACATCCAAGCTCTTTTCACTTTTATTCATGATTAGCAGAGTTTCAGTGTCAATCAGGACAACTAGAAATAATCTTCATGTCTGACACACGTCAGATGGAAAGTGAAAGTATGGCAAGCTCTTGGTTCTGGGAAATAGACTGGATGTTTATGAAACCCTGAGTTGGGAGGAGGAGTGTACATTCTATTTGTACTTGAAAACTAAAAATTTTTCTAGGAGTTTTTGTATGTTAAATACTGGAACAAAGAAGCTACATTTTCTCCCTTTTATGTTAACTTAATTTGCAGTCTATGAAATTATTGTGTACTGCTCTACTTCACATTTGCATACCAGATTAATTTGCAATTTAGCATACATGTTTAGAGATTTGAAGGACTGTCCAAAGGCTATCATCCCAAGGACAGATAGACTGTGAATTTCAGGTATGGAATGCTTAAATAAATAACAAAGTGCTTATCACATAAAGAACTCTGCAGGTGCTCCAGAGAGTGCAGCTGCAGGGACTTGCATAGTCAACAGGATTCACGGAATTCCATCTAGGAGAGAGGCAAGATCTGCATATTGGAAGAACAAACAGTACTTGTCTGTGTGTGTGTGTGTGTGTGTGTGTGCAGGCAGATGCACAGAGAGCACAGCACTATGTTAGTGCTGAGTGGGTGAGGATTCCCAGATGTAGTCCCGCCCTCACAGGACTTAGTCCAGCATATGAGATCATCCCTCATGCTGGTAACTGAAAGCAAAGACCTGGAGAAGAGAGGAAGGGAGGAGCGCAGGATCCTGAAATGTACCTAAGGCTGCAAATGGGAACATTTGGAACTTTGAACAGTGTGGAATTTAGTTTGATGCTCATTATGCAAAATGTATTTAATTGTATTAAAACATAGTCCAATTGTTTTTCTTATTTATATTTAAATTTTTTTGACCATCTGTTGTCTTTTTTCTACTAAACTCAGAGTGACAGCATAAACATCTATTGCTAGTATACATTTTTCACACTGTAGTGAAATCATGCCCAGTACATTGTATTAATTCCTCTGACCCACATAGTCTTATAGATGTTATTTCAGTTGTTCTCATTTCAGAATGTAGAATGTCGCTTTATTTATTCAAAACTTTTTGTTCGTTTGCTTTTTTTTGCTCCAATAAGATTTTGTTGGTACATTTTAGATATACATAATGATCACATTCATCATAGAGAATTTATACCTGTACATGACCTAACTTCTCCTCCCCCTGACCCATTTTCCTTACCTTCCCTTTAACATGTCCTTTGAGATAGGATCTCTGTGTAGTCCAGAGTAGCTTTGAACTCCAGATCCTCCTGCCTGTCTCTTCAATGGTTGAATTAATGGTTGTACCATCATTTCGAGCTCTCAAAAGCCTTTTTTATTCTCCCATTATTGTGCCAGGGATTTAGCTCAGCAGCTCAAGCACTTGCCTGGTAAGTGCAAGGTTGTGAATTCAACCCCAGGTACAAAAAAACAAAAACAAAAACAAAAACAAAAACAAAACAAAAAAAACCTCTCAATCTCTCAGTATTATTGGGTAGTTCCCTACATTTCCATTTAAATTTGAACTTCTGATTGATTTATCCATGCATTAATGATTTTATCATTTAGATTGTACCAAAAACATACAGTAAAATATTTACCAACATAACCACCCATAATTCATTAGGGTTAAGAATGTTTGCATTTTAGTGCAATGGAATATAGAAAGTTTTGCTTTGCAAAAGAGAAGCTCTATATCTATTGATTTACTATTCCTTAATCTTTTACTCCTTTATTCCTTGAAATAATCATTCTATTTTGTTTCTAAGAGTTTTATTGTTTTATTTATAACATTGTGGTGTTAAATTTAGGTGTCTTTCTAGGGGATTATGTGGAGAGTCTCAGTGGAGAAATCATATTAGTTTCTAGAATATGACAACATGGAGAGGGCCCGACGAATGGATGATGATTCTTATTAACCAAGGCGGTAAAGGAAGGGAAAAATAAAACTGGGAAAAGGAAGGAAAAGTGCAGAATGAGAGCTGAAGCCCAATGTAACTCACTGAGCCCTGTTCCACGCTGTACTAGGTGCGGCCAGAGGATTTAAGGTCCTGCTG